CACAGACTGATGACACACACACACACACACACACACACACTCACACACACACACACACACACGCACACACACACACACACACACACACACACACACACACAAGACCAAGATGGTTTCATACATGATCAGAAGTTAACTACAGTTGAACCTGCTGTAAGTCTAACTGTATCCTGTATCATGATACAATATTACCTGTACAAATGAGCGCTTCCCATTTTTCCCCTTGCATTTTAAAAATAAATTGTTATAGCACTACGTAATACAGTGGAATCCTGTTATAACGAGAGGGAGGGGACCGGAGCAAAATGTCCGTTATAGCAGGATTCTCGCTATAAGGGATCCAGTAATAAATTCAAGGGAAACTGTAAAGTAGGCCTAATCTATGAGTTTGGTGTTCTGTTTTTCCTTTTGCTATCTCCTCTGATGATGATTTTGTTTCAACATGACCTTAAGGTCTTACTTGATCAAAAATCGAATCGGGTTTCTTTCTCTAGAGCTAGATCTAGCGATGTTGACTGACAGCTCGGGATTGGTGATCAGAAAGAAAGGGCTCTGGGCTAACTCGCCCGCTGAGTTTTCCCCCACCCCACCACACCCTGTGGTGCATTCCGTCAGCTTGCACATGTCACTCATTCGCTCCAACCATCAAATCACTGTGACCTCTCCATCCCTGCATTATAGAAGTGAGAGGCATGGTAGGCCTTGATAATCTAAACTAGGCTTACACTGGCCTATCACCCGACGCATTCTGCTTGTCTGCGCTTGCCACACCCTCCTACTTAGTCGCTACGGCCTTCATTGTTGACACACATGGGCTCTCCCGTTCTTTTTTTCAGTATATCACCAACAAGTTTCTCAACTGGTGAGGTTTTACATTATGTATAATTGGCCTATGCACTGTGCACAGCAGCAACAATATTCCGCTATAACTGACCTGCGTGTTTGTCTGATAGCGCTGTAGCAGTATTTTACTTACAAAGGTAAAGAAGAGAACAAAACGGGGTTTTAGAATAGTGTCTTTATAACAGACTTCTCGTTTTTTCTGGACTCGTTATAAGTGGACTCCACTGTATATATATGGCTCCCTGTCTGAGACAGCCACTCCTATCCTCAACAATGAGTGGCCATTTTAGACAATTTTGGCTTTCCTGAAAAAACTTGGCAGCCAATCCTAGAGATAAAAAATCATTTTATTAAATCCCATTCAACTGTCCTCTCTGTTCTCAAGATTGCAAGATTAATTTCTAGTTTGAGGTTACCACCTCTTTTCTCTCTTCTAAAATTCTGCTGCTTTGGTGGAAGAGAGACAAATGTCAAGTTTACCTGAAAGTTCTCTCACAAAAGTAACGCATTTTTGCAGTGGCTGTTGTTTATATAGATTGCTGGTGAATATGCCTTTGCTTCGTGCAGTTTCCAAGCCTCTCCACCCTTTTGGCTCTGTCCTATTGGAGGTGGACGTTAAATTCAGAGGTCCCACCTCTTTAGTCTTAAATAAATACATAACCATAGCCTTAAAGTGTTGAAAGGTGCATTAAACTTATGCAGCGACCGATGATGATCAGCCTGGACAAGAATAATGTGAAAACTAATTCAGCTGCTTCCCAAATGGACCAACAAGTTTATGCTTTCCAATTTTTGTAAAGGTTTCTTTTGACTTGATGAAGTGAAGCAATATCTGGACTGTCGTGTTTTCTCTGTCTTGAAACAGTGCAAAATGATTATATATTTATGGTCTCTGAGCGAGGTGTTCTTTCCATAATATTATATCCTGACGAAGTATTTTAAGTGCATGGACTGTTATAAAAAGTGGAACTGTTAGCCTGGATCATAACCTATAATTTTTATTTTAAAAATTAATTCAAAGAAGTTTGAAGTCCTAGGTGGATACTAAGACTTTGTCATGATATTTTTTCTTCCTAGATGGGAGATTGGCTCAAGAATGTGTTGATGAAATACCCGAAATAGAGTTCTTGTTTGCGGACCCATCAGTTATTGGACAAGTCTTGTCTAGCAACAAAAATAGAGTGGCATGGATGCAGTCTACCTTTGCAGGTAAAATTTGCCTGCTGTTATGAACTTCTAATAGATTAACCAGAAAGGATTTTACATGTGTGTATTAATCATTCTTTTATGTGTGCCTTTATGCCTGATCATCAGTTCAATACTGGAGAGCAGTCTTTTTGTGTTTACCTCTCAGTGACTTAAGTTGCTTCACTATTCACTGCTATCAACTGACTGCTACACGCAATGGTTCCGGGGAAAACTACACTGTCATTATAAAGATGTATCGGCTGGCTCTTCAGATGCCCAGAATTTTGAAAATTTTGGTTTTGTAGTTTCTTAATTTGTGGTATTGATTGCATGTGCACAAGAAATATTTTCTTGAAATTCAAATTCTAAATGAGGGGGGGGGGGGGGGGGGGGGCTGAAAAGGTAAGCCCTGCATAATTTAGGTGCAATTCTCAAAACATAATGAAAAGGGTTTTTTTCTCTCTCGTGAAAAATTTTGCTTTTAAGCTCAGGACATTTTAACACCTTGCCAACGGGAGGCCTATTTTTGTTGTGTGTTATTTTTTCACTGGATGACTGGCCAATGATGAAAATGGCTTAGGGACGAAAGTTGTCAAATCCAATTAAAATTGATGTGCTGATTTCAAATACGTTGTTAGTTTTTATCTCCCAGGTCAGGTTTTTGCTGAATTCACGTATTTATACATGTATAATATATTATATATATATTTTCACATATTATATTCTTGGTTTTGTCAGGGGAGGTAAGAATAACAGGCTGTATCAAACAAGGGAAGTAACTTATTATTTCCAGAAAAGCAATTAGCCAAGGGTATTAAATTTTCATAATGCTCTATATCATATTTTTTCATGACGTAATTTTTAAAAGTTTAGCCTCCTTTCACTTCAACCCCCGCCTCGGGTTGCCTTGGTGAGCAGTGAGCAGAGTTAGCCTGATTCCCCCTTTGGACTTCTCTGTCTGTTGACATCCACCCCTTGGTGCTCATATGACCCTATGCAGTTGCGAGCACCATAAAACTTTACTAAAAATATTTCTACAGTTTAATCCAAATATACAATAGAAATATTGCAATCTAAAATTTAAAAGACAATGCAATTAAGCAAAGCAGTGATCTTAAAATGTGTCATAAAATGTGAGTAGCCTGACGCTAGTCGCCCGACTTCGGGTGAGTAGCCACTCTGTTTATTTTTATATGAATCAAAGATTAAAAGGAACAACAAATAATGCAATGCATAGTATTAAAACTCCTGACCTTGTAGAGAAAATCTGACGCAAGAATTGAATTCTATACGACCCAATATCATATTTAAATCATGTTCACATCCCTAAAAACAAAAAAGTGAGTGAGATTTTAAGTGTTTTGTTTTAAATGAATTGAAAAAATTTTTTAAAATTGAGATGTATCGTATTAAAAATCCTGACCTGACAGAGAAAATCTAACCCCAGATTCGAATTCTAAGACCCAAATTCCATATAAAAATATTTTCACATGCCCAAGCCTCAAAATTTTCAAAATTTTGTCGACCAGTATAATTTTAGTGCCTTGCTGGAACATAATATAGTGTATTACCTTCTTCTTATCTTCTCTGTTCATGATAACATCACTGTATTATATCAACATACTTTTCTTCTAACTGAAATGCGTTTAACTAATTCCAAATTAAAGTTTTAGAATTTTCTAATTGATTACTATTTCACAGTGGAGAAAGTCTTTATTTTTTACCAGTATGTGCCATGGTCAGATTCTTATCTTTCTATTTGACGTTTGTATTGGTTTGTTTTTTTCTCGTATGTGTGAATGTCTTTTTATTCAACAGGTCTGGATGCTGCCTTCAAAGTAATAGACAACCTAGAGGTGAGGAAGCGGCGCCATTTTAACGTAGTCACTTACATACTTAAGAAAAATTGCTAACAAAATTGTTAATAATAGAAACTTGTGCATAACTTTGCATCTGCTGTTTTCTTCAGTTTTAGGAGATATCAGAAACCGCAGAAAAGGCTTGTTTTTGACTTTCAGTGTTCCACTTTATACTGCAGTAGGGGATTACTTACAACTACTTTCACTCTCTACAACGGGGTTTTGTAGAGTTTTAAGGGTGATTGTGCTAGATTTATACCATATTCCAGGTCTGTCTCCTGTTAGGCTTAGAAGATGATTAAAATTTGATCATAACTTTTTGTGACAAGAAGATATGATGTGATAAGATAAGACAGATAAGGTAAGATAAATTTAATTGATGGGAGAGGGAAGTTCTAGATGGATACACCAGAACATCAGCATACACAGATTCAGCATCAGTACAGAAATGCACTCATTACATGCTCATTAATACATGTACAACGAGGCACAATTCACTCACAAAGTCAAAAGTACCCAAACAGTGTGTCTGTGGACAAGTGTAGTGGCAAAACTGGAAGGGTAGAAAGAAAGCAAGAATAGTATTTTTTCAACAGGATTTAGGCCTCTTTTGAAAACAAAGGAGCTTAAGGATGTACGTGGGTTTTCGTCGTGTTGACGTTTATTTGACCATATTAATTGTAATTCAAAGTGCAGCTAGTGAATTTGTAATTCGACTATTTTCAATTGTCTGTTTTTTTTTATCCAGAAACCTCCAAATGCCATCCTGACAAGGCAGACAGATGGATTTGGCCAGTTCATGGGGGAATATGTAATTGGTCAAATAATTGCCAGGGAAAGAAATTTTACGCTCATGACGGAACTGCAAAAACAGTCGAATTTTGATTGGTAAGAACACAGTATTATATCCTTTTTGAGTTCTACATTGATGTCATATTAGTGCCTTGGAAACAAAAGTAAGCAATGAAGATAAACCTTTTTAAAATTGAAATTCTAATGAATTGAGTGTTGCCAATTGACAGTTATGTATAATTAGACAATTGTGAATATAACTGCATTAGCTTTTATCTTTGTAAGTAGAGAATTAAAGGACATTAAGATAGATGGGTTGTAACATTTGTGAAGAAAAAGATTATAATGCTTAAAAGCGATAAAATGTTTTACTAAGAATACCCTTTGTATCCAAGTGACAGGATGAGTAAAAGATAATCGACTTGATTTTTTAACTCCTCTTTACAATGTTGTTTGTCTTAAGGCACTGGAGCTTCTGTCACCTAGTTAATGAAATTTTCATTTTTTTAATAACTGTTTTCCGGGGCTCGTAACTGCATAAGGTCATGAGTGCGAAGGACACATTAACGCATTTTCAGTTTGGTTGGAATTTATTTTGAATTTTGCCCGGGTGGCAACCGAAGCCTACTCTTATCGATTTTAGGTCAACCAAGGGTTCTTTAACGTGTGGAACTTGCACCCGAGACGTCAGAGATTTTTTGCTCTTTCCAAGAAGGCTAGGTTTTAGATCTTACCTACCCTAAGATCAGAGGTGTGGCTGAAAGACAACAGTAAGAAGGAGCAAATTAGTAGCAGTAGAAAGGTTGCAGAAAGAGTCAGGAGCCCAAGGAAGGGGGAGGGAGGCGGACAATAGAGACAAAAGCAGATGGCAATATGGTTAGAGAGCAGGAAAGGAAGTGAAGTAGGAGAAAATTTTCTGTCACTTTCAGGTTTCGAACTAGGGACCTATTGAATGAGAGGCGAACACTGTACGCCTAGACCCAGAGAGCACCCTGTATTTAAGTTTTCAAAATTTTGTTTCTTCTTGTCCTTTGGTCTTAATTTATCAACATATATCCCTTTTGGCACATGCCAGTGATAGCAATTTTTTAAATTCATACTGAAGCTGAAGTATTCCTCATATTTTCAGCTCACAATTGGTGTCATATAGAGGCCTTAATGAACTGTGTCTTGGAGTTATAGGATTTGGGATAATTGGACAGGAAGGTAGGTTGTGATTGTCGAAAAGACTGTATTGTCCTCATAGACGTGAGTGTTTGTGTTTATGAATAGGATAAGCAAATTAGTTATGAACACAAAAATTACATTAAAGAAAAGCAGCATGATTAGATTTGTCTTTTTTGTTTTGACTGTATGAACCAGTAAGATACGTTCTTTTTTACCATATTACTCTATCAGGTATGGTGTCCAACAGTTTGAAATACTATCGTACTGTTTATCATTTTAAAAACTGCTTAAAAGTTCTCTCTGATTCTGGCTGATGGTATTTTAAAAAAGTGAAAGAACTTTAAAAGAGAAGAGGAATGCTCGAGTTTTGTTTGTAATCAGGTATTATGACTAAGCAACTCAATGATGATCGTTACTTTTTATTCTATCATTTCTTGAGACAGAGGGAAGCCTATGTGTGTTTTTAATGCCAAAAACTGACCTGTTCGTGCAAGTCTGTGGTTTTGAGTTGAGTTCAGAGTAGAAAGTACACCCATCATGAGATTAAGAGCAAAAGATCACAAAATATTTTCATTTGTATTTCAGTGGCAAGACAATGCAAGGCCATGAATATGACAGTGTGGGCGGCTGTTCGTGATGCTCGCTTCAATAATGGTCAAGCAGTCAGTGAACATGTTCATCATATCAGGTGTGGAATTCATTGCTTTTTACTCATAACTTGTAACAATATGTATAACAGCTCATTCTTGTGCTCATGCACAAAGATACGTCCACAGAAATGTTTTTGCTGTGATGACGTGACTAATCCACATAGTTCTCAGCCTTTCAACATGGGGTTTAGTGAGAGTTATTTCTTGATGATATGAGTGAAATATCTGTGTGTGTTTGTGTGTGTCTGTGTGTGTGGGTGCGGGCATGCATGTGCTTGTGCATGTACGTGTGTGTGTGTGTGTGTGTGTGTGTGTGTGTATGTGTGTGTGTGTGTTTTGAATTGAGAATAAAATTATAATGTGAAACATTTACACCTTCCCTTAGGCCGATGTCAAAACTTTCTGAAATGCTCCAGGCGTGTGACTATGTGGTCAGTGTGTTGCCCAGCACACCCGAGTCACGTGGTCTGTTGTCCGGGAATGTGCTACAAGCATGTGAGAAGAAGGTACTCATTTTTCTCAAACATCACAAAGCGAAAGCAGCTGAGAACCTTGCTGTAGCTTTTGAGAGTCTGTGAGATAAAGATTGTCTCTGAAAGGACCGTTTTATATTTGAAGATAATATCAGACGTTCCAATTGTCTGAATCCGGAATCCGGGATTTTCTAAATTATCTGGATTTTGTATAATTCCTGCGCTTTTACATTTATTTATATTCTTAATCTCATTTTTCATGTCATATTGCTCTTTACTTACAAGATACAAGATGCATTAGACAGCATAATCCATAATCTAGATTTCCTGTGTGCGTGTCTCTAGAGTCCAAAAAGCTCAGGATTTTTTTTGAAGCCAATTGGCACCTCTGTAGTATTGCCTGAGATCATCATTTAGCAAACAGGTTTTCACATATGGACAAAGATTAAATCATGGAGTTTTTTTGTTCAGTTTGTCAGGCGAAAATTGTTAAATTGTGAGAATATTGTGGTAGGAGTTAATATCTCTGTCTTGATTGAGCTTTTTGTGAACATTTTAGGTACATTATGTTTTATGTCTTGATTATTAACCCTATCCGTACGCCCTGGGGTCATTTTGAACCCCCCGGGGTTGTATTCTTCACATTTTAGAATACTTCTAGTACAAAGATCTCTTTGCCAGTATTTTCAGTATTTCTCATAAAATCATTTTGACTGACTGCTATGCAAAGCGTACGGATCGGATTAACGAGTAAATTTCCTCTTTGGAAGTGGTGGCTCAGAGTTCCCCACGTCGTATGGATACGATAGTAAAACACGACGAACGGATAGGGTTAAACCTTTATAGCATCTTTAAAATTTATTGATCAACAGTAGCTTTTGTTCCCTTGATTGGAAGGCAACTTATCTGATTGACTAATTGGAAAGAATGCAAAGTTCTTTTTAGTTGGTCACCAGTTTAGAAAAATTTTTAACATCCACGATGAGCATTTGAATGATCTAAATTTCTGCTTTGGTTTCTTGAGGAATTCAAGGGAATTTTAAAAATGTCCTGTGATTTATTCAATATTGTTCTCTTTTTCTGTTGCATTATGGTCATTGCACAGTAATCAAATTTGACCATTTCTGTTTGCAGAAGTCTGTACTTATCAACATAGGACGAGGTGATGTCATCGATGACGACAGTCTTGTCAATGCTGTCAGGTGAGTGATAGAGGCCTGTGATCATAAGTGAGATGGGATCTAGCACATACAAGGATACAAAGTCTGATGGAGTGTTTCTGTATTATTAAATCTAGATTTTTTTTTTGTGTGTGTGATTATTTTAAGCTATTTCAGGATATGAATTATTTACAATTTTTTTCCTAGTATGTATACGAGATTTGTGCTCTGCTTTCTCACTTTAACAAACAGTCGAGCAAGTCGAACGAACCACAAGTCATCTTAACCCTTATTTTTTCTGTTTGGCTTAAGAAATATTCTTCTCTTCAGATGCATTAGTCATCATCAGACATTGAGGGCGGAGATTATCATTATTGAAATCATAATTATTTTTGCATAGCCTTATTTAAAGGACCACCAGAGCAAAGGGTGTGGGAGAAGCCCGAGGGGAGGGGGGGAGGGGTGTCAATGTTTTTGCCCTCTGTTATTTGCTATTGTTGTAGGCGATTCCAATGACTGGAGAGGCAGTAGTATGGCTAGACTTAATTGTTATGTGGCATACATTAGTCCTTCAGTTTTGTAATTAGTGTTCAAGCACAATGACAACAGACCGGCTTGTGTATGCCTTGCACTTGAACTTTTATTCCAGATCCGGCTGGCTCAGTGGTGCTATTTTAGATGTATTTAATCAAGAGCCTCTGCCTGCAGACAGCCCCTTGTGGAGCGTACCTGGCATAACCATCACACCTCATGTCAGTGGCATCACAAATGTGAACAAGGTAACTCGCTCAAGTTTTAATTTTCAGGTGAAGAACCTTCCTTTGAAATCATCAGCAATCTTCCCCAATTCTTGAGTGTAATCGAAATGATGGTTTTAGATAACCTCTGAAGAAGAAACTAGTCTGTTGCATGTTTACCGGCCCTTCCCCCAAAGCAGATGTTACAGTCTTATCAACTGTTTAGAATTCTCCTGGACTTCCAGAATATGATCATAGCCAAGGGAAACAACCGAGGGGAAAATTGGGCAGGGCAGTAATATTAAGCCCTGTGTATTTTTTCTTGGAATGAGTATGAGTTTCCTGGACTGAACACTGGAATATTATTTACTGTTGAGACACATATGAGTGTGCTATGTCCCTTTTTTTGGAAATGCAAAAGCCCTCTTCGTGACTCTTCCTTATGGCATAACCATGATATGTGTGAAATGTTAATTGTAAAATTTCATAGTGTACCGAGATTGCTTGGAAGTTTTTTTTATCAACTGTGCAAATAATTTGATCAATAAACACTGCATTTAAGGGTGATGAAATAACTAAATCATTGGGTTCAAATTAATCCTGTATTAGGCTAAATTTTAATCAAATTTTCAGTAACTTGTACTGGTTTCAGAGAGTTTTTATGATCAGTTGAGTCTGTTCAAACGGTGGAAGTTGGTGGTTGGCTGGTGCTCTGGTGGAGTTTGTTCCTTCTTTCATATCAAATATTTGTCATCCTAAATCTCTCCTCCTTCTTTTTCATGTTTGTTACTCTCTTGTGACACCTCTAATCTTCAGCACTTTTGTAACCTAATTGTGTTGCAAGTGCTGTAAAACTAAAACTGCGGAAAGATGTTTTTTCATTTGAAAGGAATGTTGCTACATTGTTTGAATCGCCTCTTTTTCATTTTTTTTTTTTCGTCCACAGGCAGTGAAGACTTTTACAGATAACATTGTCCGATACAGGAATGGAGAACCCATGTTAAATCAAGTTGAAATGTCCAAAGGATATTAAGTGCAGGGTATTTTTAAATCTTTTATTCTTGTCATTCATTGACTGTTAATTTGGTCTACCTTTACATTTGTTGATTTTATTAAGCAGAAGCAAATTGTGTTACAGTAAAGAGTGGAGATTTTGAATTTGTTTTCAAAAGATTCATTTGTTGTGCTTGGTAAGGCCTTAAAATGTTACTTATAAAAAATAATGACGATTGATCGATTGTCTTTGACAGTCCTCGAAGATGTAAGAAAATGTTTATTGAGAAAAACTCGTCATGTGTTCCATCGTGGCGAAAAAGGTGCTCATAGAATTAATGAAAATTAAGAAACTAGCATTTTTCCACCTGTTGGACAATTTTTATTGATTTTTTTTTCTTTTGTTAATTAGGGTTCAAAACCCTTTTATGTCCTTTTAAAAACACATTTGTGTTTGAATTTTACTGAAAAAAAGTTTATCAAAGGCACAAAAATGTAAATTTACAGTATCCAATGACACTCAAGCTTTGAAAGTTATCAAACTTTGATGTACATTTTCTCATTAATTTTACTTCTGACACCAGGTGACCCCGCCTCCTTCAACCACAAAGATCTTGACACATATGAATGACTTTAACTAAAGTAATTGAGCAAGCACAGTGGAGTCCGCTTAAACTAAACACAGTTAATCAGAAAACAGCAATAAACAGAAAGAAAATAAATAAGATCCCAAATTTTTTCTTCTTCATTGCCTTTCTCAGAAAACCATCGATTAGCGGAAATGTTTCCAAACATTAAAAAATTTAGACGGTTATTTTGACTATAAATATTCATTTCCAATCCTCAAGTAACGTAAATCATTAAATTTTAATGCTTCAAAATAGCGAAACAGAAGAAAGAGACATGATAATACATGTGTGTCGTTTGTGGGCCACAGAGAGACATCGCCATTCTACTGTTTCCCTTCTTATCTCACACATAAGTAGGCCTACACATGGTGTACAGGCCAAGTGCCACAAGGACAGCGAATGTGTCTGTAACCTGACCTTTGGTTGGTCATGGCCTATTGTCTCCATGAAGCTTGTTCACACAGGACCAGCAGTTGAGCACATGGCAGTATGTGGTGTATTTCATGACATCACTGGCATTGGTAGTGCTTCCACTCTTCCGTATTTTTACAGAAATCCGTACTTTTTGCTAGTTTCGTACTTTTTCCTCCATCATTATCAACTTTCTCCGTAAAAATGTGCGTAGGACTACCGAAATTCTGTAGCAAAAGATCCGTACTCGCTTTCATATCATCTTGTATAAGTTACGGATACTTACGGTAATTCTCTCGGCAATACGTTAATGTTATTGGGACCTGCCAGATTGCACATTTCCTGCCATCAGCCATTAATATATTTTGCTATGCACCATGCGCTCATGGCGGGTTGGTCTGAGTACATTTTTTACCTACAGATTGATCAAAGTCTGGCGAACTTTTTGTGCCACTTTCCTCCTTTCTATCATTCCCTCATTCCGTCTGTCTATCTTCGGATTGTTGCTGCGGCTGGAAAATCTAGCGCGTTGATCAAGTATATTGACTTGTGATCTTAGACAGAAAGTTACTATCAAAGAGATACTTTTTTGCAAATTTATTGTCTAGATCTAGAGAAATTATCAGTGCGAAGATTCTACGGCACTGGCATGCGATAAAGGCCGTGATGAAGGAAATTTGTACTAAAACTACTAAAATCGGGATAATTCAAAGTGGTGTTCCGAGGTTGTGACATGCGACATTCAGACGTGAAAATTGAGGAAAATTAGGGTATACGCTGGGTAACTGTATTGTGAAGGTGTATATCTATTCATTATTCCCTGGTTTGCCTTCCCTATCAATGGTGCGATGACAAATTAATTGAATTATAGTAGCAATGGAAGGGGAACCTGCTTTTAAAAATTGCCAGCAATGGAAAGATAATATGTGGTGAAGAAATCAAACAAGACAAAATCTTGGTGAAAAAATAGGTAGTATGGGTTGTTAGCACTCTCTTCGAACAAGTTCCCAAATGCCATTTTCAACCCTCTAAAAGCCCTAGGTTTCAATTTCTTCAGGGGCTTCGCCATCTGAACTCCCATGGGCCCCCAGATCCCCGGCAGAATTTTCCTTACTTTTCAGCTTCAGCTGGTGGAAGCACTGATTGGGCTTTCTTTATCACTTCTCTATCTACTCTCTATTCTGTTCTTTGTCAGAGTAAGTAAGCTGACAATGTAGAAGAGAAAGCATCAAGCATATGATGTAGCCTGCAGCTCAAAGTGAAGTTACTGAAAGAGGTAGATGAGAAAAACTGTTTAAAAATTGAATGTTTTTCGCAAACATGGCATTCCAAATTCTACATTTTCGACAGCCATCACTGTTTGAGCTACCTCTCTAAACTGAAAACCAGGCTCAGCCGAAGAAAATCTGGTTGTCCTGCAGATTTTGGTTTAAGCAGACTCCACTGCGTGTGTGTGTGTGTGTGCGTGCGTGCGTGCGTGCGTGCGTGCGTTCATGCGTGCGTGTGTGTGTGTCGCACGCGCATCTTTCCATCCATCCTTCCATTTGTGATTTCAGTTGTGTGTCACAAATATACAAAGTTATGCAATTTATATGAGGTTGGTCATTGGTCATTTGATATTGAGGATTAAAACAATTTATGGACACTTGTGAGTTGAAAAGGTTTCTAAAATCTCAGATTTATTATGAGATTTTAAAATGTCAGTGTACCTGGCACTTGCTGCTGCCTACATTTTCTGGCACTCGTCCATATTAGCGACAGCCTTTGTCATCACAGGATATAATATAGATCTATTGCTGACCAGTGCAACACAAACACTAGCTTTTGTTGATGACCTCACCACAGTGTCCATTGCTACAACTACAAGATAAATGAAATGTTTGGAAATGTTCACAGGCTAATATATTGTACGCACTAAACTTGTGTATTTTTACTCCACAAGTAATAATATTTATATAATAATATATGGGATTTATATAGCATTTAACCCCGATTAAAGTGCACAGACTCTGAGCGCTTTACAATACAATAGTACCGTTAACATGAAAACACATAAAAAACGGTTTACTTGCTCGTTTCTTTAAATCTGTTATTAACTGTCAGAATTTGTGTACTTACTTATTATGGCATAAAGGTATTATGATAAATATACTTATTGTAAGATGCCTTGAACTTGATATTTAGGGGAAAAGTCCATAGAAATTATTACATATTCGAGGAAAAATATACCAAGGACATATGATATACCAAAGTGTTGATATTTGTTATATTTGTTGTGATATGTTTTCAAATGTATGTGTGGAGTATTGCTCCTTACTGGAAAGGTCTGGATTAAAAAGATTTTGTTTGAGAGTTGTCCTCCTTCTCTTACTATCCTCATTTAGGATCCTTGAAATAATTTTTCCCGTTTCTATTTTATTAGACAGGAAGTAGTTACTAGTGCATGAGTTGTTTACATCTGTGATAATATATGCAGCATATGAAAGAGGTGCTTTGTTCATTGTCATTATAGCTGCAGGAAACTGGGAGTGTCACAGTATTATCTCTTTATTTTACATTTTTTGAATTCTTTTAATAGAGGCCTCCTTTGAGCTTATATTCTGCTGTCCCATCCCTCCCCCCTCCCCCCCCCCCTTCCCCCCTCCAAAGAAAAAGAGGGTCTAACAACCCTCCTCCCTTCTTTCAAAGCTCCAAGTGCCTAATCTTTTAATAAACTATATGTAATGTTTTAAAGTTCACCTAATCTGATTTGACTTCAAGTGACAATATTATGTGTGTAGTAGGGCAAAATTAACTAAACCCTTTTAAGGCCTTCCTTTTGAAATGTGAAATTTTTGTCCCTAATGGTCTATTATATTCTCCAGATTGTTGAATCCGTACTTTCCTCCATTGTTGTCCAGATTGAGATGAAATGTTACAAATAAAAACACCTGTACACTACTTTACTTTGCTTTTTCTTGTTTTAATAAAACATCTTTGTTTATATCATATGTATATGCCCGCATTATTTTTTTGTCCTTATTTATTTATTTATTTATTTATTTATTTATTTTCATTTTTTAAGTCAATTAATTAATTAATTAACTTTTCTCTTTCTTTTTTGGCACTAACCTGTATTCACTCGAGGGAGAACATGTGAAAGGCCGGTAAGAAGAAGGGAGGAGAGCTTCTGTGTTTGTAAGATAAATGTTCTTTTATATTACACACATGCACGTACAAACACACACACATCGGCACCTGCATTCTTGTGCTCAGGTATTCTAGCACAAACTTCTTTCTTTTTTGTTACATATTTATACAGTTCAAAGCCCTTCTAGACATAAAGTTTGTAATTTGCAGAACGCATTGTTCCCTGTCAGGATGCTGATGAACTCCCTCTCCCCTGTTTGAGACAGACATTTTTGTGTGGTTCCCTTGGGATTCTGTCTTCGACAGATTCTACTGTATATATATATATATATATATATATATATATATATATATATATATATATATATATATATAATGTATACATATTTTATATGTGTGTGCTCTGTCTATCTATCTATCTATCTATCTATCTATCTATCTATCTATCTATCTATCTATCTATCTATCTATCTATCTATCTATCTATCTATCTACTATCTGTCTGTCTGTCTGTCTGTCTGTCTGTCTGTCTGTCTGTCTGCCTGCCTGCCTGTCTGTCTGTCTGTCTGTCTGTCTGTCTGTCTGACTGTCTGTCTGTCTGTCTGTCTGTCTATCTATCTGTCTGTCTATCTGTCTATATTAACCCATCATCTATGCTGCAATAATCTACCTATAAACAATCACAGAATGAAAAAAGCCAACCTAGTTATAGACAAAAATAGAAACGAGGGGCAATCTGAAAAAAGAAAAAAAAAAACATGCTGAAAGACAAACTCATAAATTCTGCTGAGCAAACCTGGGTATCCAAGCTGGAACTGATAAGCACCAGGACACACCCTTTTCTTCTTCAGATGTGTGTCTTTTCTAATCTTTTGTCTGATGCAGCCTGAGTCGGTGAGAGAGAAATTCTTCTTTGGATAAGGTAAAAAATGTAACATTTGTCTTCTTTCTGTTCACTACTTTGTTTGAAAAAAATATTTTGTTTGAACGTTATATTTTCATCCCTCTTTTGGAAAACTCTTCATTATAGATCTACATTTTCCTCATTTTGCGGAAGTTTTCGATTTGGGTTACAAAAGTTGGTATCTTGCATAAC